TTTGCAGTATACGTTTTTCGGTACTCGTTCTGGATTCAAACAGAATCAAGTCAAAGCTTGTCTACAACTCGCAATGCCTCAGATATCCACCATTGTGGGATTACTAACGGAGCACTGCTTACACAATGATCCCACTATGTGTAGAATTTGCACGGAAGAGGAAGAAACCTTATACTATGTGATCTTCGAATGCGAAACTCTTAAAGGGCGACGTTTGATCCTTTTCGGCCTAGAACCGGAAAGAACGCCCCAGGAACACTTGGTAGGGAACCTATTAAAACTAACCAAAGACACAGGACTATTCCAAAGATAGTACCTGAGGGGGAATACAGGGGAATACAATAGACCCAAGAGGCCACAGTGTTCTGAGCCAAACCTAACCCTATTTGCTTACAAAGATAAAGATAAAGATTGGGACACCCTTTAGTTTTACTAATATTATACTGACTGTCGCAGTATACCGATGGTCCAGAAATTTATTTTAATTTTACCTGTAGCATTTCAATATATCTATTATATAATTATGTTCTTCTGTATTCGTTTTTAAATTTGTATCAAATAAATCAAAAGTGTATATATCACATACGATGCTTTTAATATCTTTATCATCTTTAGTCTAAAACTCGAAATATAATAATATTTAAACTGTATAACCTAAACACATGGCCAGGACTTAATTACAGCTGTCAAAAGTGGCAACGTGGCATAAACTGGCCACTAGTTACTAGCGCCATCAACCGTCAAGCCTAGCAAGTAGTTAAATTCGGGGATTTTTATATAGACCGCGGAAACACAAACGTTTTTGATAATTATTTACTTTATTTTTAATTTAATAGTACAGTTCATCAAATTTCTAGAGGCTTTCGACGGCTAGACAGAGAAAGCACTACTGACAGGCATCCCGACGGATTTACGCAATGAAAGTACACTCTGCGCATCAAGTATTTCACTATTTCATTCAGACGTAAATGTCAGATGTAAATTTCGCTAAAACATCTTTTATTTTCGTTTGTGTTTTTTGCTCATTACAGTTTAATAGAACCTAAGTATGGAGTTTAATAGCAAATTAAGAGGCCGCGTGATTAACAGTCAATCTCGCGAAATAATAGCCAATGTTATAGAGTTTATGAGAAGAGAAGGAAACTTTAATTCACCTTCAATACCATTTAAAAATGTGCCACAGGAGTATCTAAAAACACTGTCGTCCGCATTTCTGGAGAGAAAAAAAGAATCGATAACCGTGAGATATCGGAATTTTCATCACCAAGAAAAACCATTAAAAAACCAAAAACAGTTAATGATATAGATGAAGCTGCACAAGAATCAAATTTTATTTTTTTATTATTAGATAGCTATTTTTGTTTCTGAGTTGTGTTCATTTACAGGCTCAATTTTTTTCCGTTTCTCCTTTTTGATTTTATATGGGGTTTCAAGTTGTTTTTGACTTATTTCGACGTAAATCACAACAACACACTTTTTTAATAAAGCAAACAAGTGTTAAGAGGTATATGTACGTGTAAACTACAATTACAAAAAATTGATATGAAACCCATGAAACCACCAACAAAAATGTAAAGCTAGCTTCCGTACTAGAACATGGTGTCATTCGTTGAGATAATTTATCGTTTTGTTTAATAGATCAAGAAATGTAAATATTCCCCTGTTATTTTTTATAAAATTATAAGAGAAATAATTTTTTTTCTAAATAGTATAGTTTATTATTTTGTAGAAAAACAAAATTTCGAAAATTTTAGTAATGTTTCAGAAACAACCGTTATTAATAATAGGTACAATTTTCCTTAATAAGGTAGAAATAAAATATAAACTATTTCCACGATTTACAAAGGCCTACAAAAAAATTATAGGTATTTTCCGCCATCCTATAAAATTTATATTTTCTGACTCAATTTCAAAAGGTTGAAGGAATTCCAAAACACCTTTTATGGCATAATAATTATTTTCAATTCTACATACTATCTTTAGCTGCTTTTAAAAACGTTCTAAGAAAGTCCAATCAGACCAATTTAATCCCTAAACTATTCCACACTTTTAAAATTTAATTACCTAAAAATATTAAAAACTATTTAAAATAACTTGTTTAGCAGACTGTACAATAGCTATCTTAGTCACACGTAGCGCGTTCTCTGTCTGGGCGTCGAACACCTCTAGATATTTGATGAACTGTACTTGTGTTTTCAAGTTTTAAAACTGAGTATACTTCTGATGCATAAGCTCTCAGGATTTAATTAGCTGCCACGAAGTAGGCAACCGTATTAATTTACGTACCTGATTAGTGTCAAGCATCCCTCAACTCACATAATATTCAATTTCCAAAATCAGATTACTTGTAGGTATAAACCAAATATCAAATAATATTATATTAATCAGTTGGAATAGTTTCAAATAATGGAACATAATACCTTTTCCAAGGCTGACACTAGCGAATAATGTTAAGTTTCACATATATGAACCACTAAACTGAATTTATGGCACGTGTCAAGAAACAAAAACTAATATATTAAAATTAAAAATACATACATAATTAAATTTAACATTTTTTTAAAATGATTTAAAATAGTTATTTATGCAACAAGTGTGTAAAGTTACCCTTTTTTGACGAATGTGAATGTCAAATGAGTCAAAAAAGGGACTTTACACACGAGTAGCATACAATATTTTTTCTACTACCGTACACATAATCCACTAATATTAGAAATATAAAAGTTCACTAGTAAAAAAAAGTACTTTACTTTACGCACTAGTGAAAAAAAGTAAAATGTGCCAAAAATTGTACACAACAACAAAAATAAATTTATTGGAACTTTACAAATTTATAATTCTTACAGAACAAAATGACTAACAAATGAAGAAATATTTAAAAAAAATAGGTTTTTAACTCTTATGAATATTAATATTGAATGTGCAATTATTGCAATTACCAAAACTTAAGGTTTTGGCCTTTTCCAGCACAGAGTTTGAAAAATGTTGTGATATTACTTCTGTAACCCTATTTTGAGCTTCGAGTGGTATGGATTTGGCCTTTTCAAGTAAAGAGGTTGAAATATTTTGTGTAACTCTAGTTTCACTGTCGAGTGGTTCCACTAATTCTTCATTAGAGTTGTCAACGGTAAAATTGTAGCTTTGTTTGGAAGTGGATGGCATACTGTCATCCATCAAAATTTTATTAGAAATTTTGTTTTTTTTGTGTTATTGTGCTGTCTACGTAGCCTTCTGCAACAGCAGATGATTTCCATCCTCCATGTTTTTTGACCGTTAGAAGGTCTCCTCCAGAATTTGCCAGCATAGTGGCTGAAGACCTCCTAAAGCAGTGTCCTGCAAAAGCCGTTGGATTCGGCAAGTTTAGATACGTTGCTATAACACTTGGCATTTTACCAAAAGTATTTATCCCTACAGGCTGTTTAGAATATTTTCCATTTGCGAATTTTAAAAAAAAATCTGTTACAATTTATATTTGATGGTCTTAATGAGGTATATTTTTTTATGAAAGATAAATAATCAACTACAGAATTATTTGGATTTAAAATCGTAAAAATGCGTTCTATTCCATTTTTGGTTTCTGATACTTTGACAATATACACTGTTTATCTTCCACATCGTTAATTGTCATTTTACATAATTCTTCCCGGCGACATGCTCCCGCAATTCCAATTATAAAAGCTACCTAAAAAATAACATATTGTAATGTTACAAATAATTTATTAAACATTAGGAAATATCTTGACGATGCGCATGTAAAACTCCAAATAAATGCTATTGTAAAAAATATAAAAGTTTTAGCTATAATGTGCTGCCTAACAACCCCGGTGGCTTGTTAGGACAGCAACTGATTTTGTTAGGCAACACACCATACGAACACACATCTCGTTGCAAAACTTTACAGAATATTTTAATTTTATACTCAGCATTCAAGCATTTACTGAGGCATTTACTTACTTTGATCATTAAAAACTTGGAATCTGGAGCTTTCAACAGAAAATTAAATAGATCTTCTCGTTCAAAAATTTTTGGATTTTTTTGGTTTATAACCTTTTTTTTTTTTTTTTGAGAAACGCTATTAACTTGTTGAATTTCGAAATATCAACGTTGTTTTTATATTTTAAGGTGCTTTTAAGCATAGAATAAATCGACCATAGGGTAGAAGCTTTGCAATTCTTCAATTCATCAGAGAAATATGCTAAAATAACGTTTTCCGAATATTTTGTCACCTTATTCTTCCTACACCATTCTATAAATGCATTGTATTTTTGCTGATAAATATATGCAGATTTTTCTGGCAATAAATTTTCAGTGGCCTTTTGTGCACTGCATAAGATATCTGGGGGAGTATTATCAAATTCGCTATCGCTAGATAAATTTGAATCCATATCGATTATGACAGATATAATAAACTGCAAATAAAATTTGTATTTAAGTAAACATTAAAAAGTAAAACTTTTTACCTTCTCAAACTTGATTGAGTTTAAAAAAATGCTAAATTGACTTTAGAATCTAATCTTGAACTTAAGTATACTTTTGTCGTGTTCTGTTATAAGGTAGGTACTAATTAAAAGTTTAGAGATTGACAGTTCTTCTAATCCACACAGACACGGCCAACTTACTTTTACCTAAATCGACATCCACTGTATGTTTACTTTTAATTAAATCGATGACATTTAGAGAAAATTATAATTAAAATAAACTGTTGATAATTTGTTGGACACTAAATAGATATAAGCAAAAATACTATATTTATTTGTCTTAGAAGGAGATAGCAAAAAAATGTTAATATAAAATAAGACGTTATATTTTGTTGTTATGTACAAATTTTGTCAAATTTTAGTTTTTTTAACTAGTGCGTAAAGAGTTTTACTTTACGCACTAGTGAAAAAAGTACAACTTTACACACTTCGTGAAGTGAGTAAAGTACGTACTTTACGCACGGTAGTAGAAAAAATATTTTTACGCTCAAGAGTTAATGTTAGCGTTAGAGAGATACGAATTTAAATAAATAAAAGATGTATTATATTTTCATAAAAAACTAAAAAATAAAAATAAAATAATCACTATTATTATACTCTAAACATCCGTTGCATTAATTTTCCTAAAAAATTTTCTATTGATGCTCGGTGGCAGTAATAAATGAATGTCAACTGTGGTTGTCCACCATGTGTACCAAGGAACAAATTGATCTCTGATTATTAGATAAATTGTTACGACATAGCCTAAAATTACAGTTAATAGGAAAAGGCAAACAGCGGATTGAATCCATTTTTTCCTGACGCCAAGTTTTGTACCTTCAACCATAAAATACTCCATTCCCACAATGCTAGTTGTTATCAACGCAAAGGTTACCAAAGTCAATAAAAGGCCTACGAGTAAATCCGCGCGAACGTGTTCCTTATTTCGGGGATGTCGGGCCCAGAGTTTTAGACTCTGCCATAGTTTATATCTTTTAGTTTGGATGGCTTTGTATTTAAACATACACAATTCGCAATGACTCCTGCTCGATTGATTCAACCACCTTTCCAAACACGATAAATGTACGTATTCCATTGTTCCTCTGCAGTTGCACGGCGATATAAGGCATTCTGATATCGTATTCGTATGACATATCCTACATACGACCGATGTTGTCGAATGAACTTTAACTGGCGACTTTGGATTAGATGGTTTAGTTACTAAAAAGTGAGATGAGATTTTCGCTGATTTCTGTTTTTCTACTTTTAATTTTTCAACGCTGCTGGGGCATATACTGATTTCTTCGTACATTTTAAAGTCATTTTGACGGTAGAATTTTGACAAATACGTACATAATAACATAATCTAATCTCTGAACCTGATGTAAATAATAAGCTTTATTATTCTAGAAAATCGGACCAATAGAAAATGTGTTCCTAATGGTCATGCGAGATCTTAATATGTAAATACTATGAAGACTAGACCTACATCTGAGACGGTTATTCTGTGTCTGAGATTCACGTTCAAGATAGAGTGCGACCAAAAGAACGAGGTTCTCAATTCGTCATAATATTTTTTTTGTTTTATGTATGTTCAGAGATAATTCTTTAACACGATGTCCGATTTCAATGATTCTTTTTTTGTTAGAAGGGATATAACTTCAGGGGTGGTCTCATATTAATTTGGTCAAAATCTAATAATTAGGTCCATTGAAAAATTCTCAAACTCTTCATCTTTAATGTATATTTATCGTTAATTCTTTACCACCTTGTCCAATTTCTAGGATTCTTTTTTTGTTAATAAGGGGTGGTCCCATATAAATTTAGTTAAGGTGTGGTGACGGCATCTGCACGAATTTGAAGTGCAACTATACCAACGGAAAATCCATAAATTAATTTTATTTTTAACCGACTTTAAAAAAGGGGAGGTTCTCGATTTGTCGGTATATATATTTTTTTATGTATGTTCAGCGATAATTCTTTAACACGGTGTTTAATTTCAATGATTCTTTTTTGTTAGACAGGGGATACTTCAGGGGTGGTCCCATATTAATTTGGTCAAAATCTAATAATTGAGCCCATTAGAACTCTTCATTTTTAATGTATGTTTAGCGGTAATTCTTTACTACCTTGTCCATTTTCTATAATTCTGTTTTTGTTAGTAAGGGAGTACCTCAGGGGTGGTCACATATAAATTTGGTTAAGATGTGGTGATGACATCTGCACGATTTTGAACTCTATTTTTTAAAATTACTTTTAATACTTGTTTATGTATGTTTATCGATAATTCTTTACCATCTTGTCCGATTTTAACTATTCTTTTTTGTTAGTAAGGGGATACCTCAGGGGTGGTCCCATATAAATTTGGTCAAAATCTAAAAATTAGGTCCATAATAAAATCCTCAAACTCTTCATTTTTTATATATGTTTAGCGATAATTTTTTACCACCTTGTCCGATTGCTATGATTCTTTTTTTGTTAGTAAGCGGGTACCTCAGGGTGCGGTGGCCTTATATAAATTTGGTTAAGATGTGGTGACGGCATCGCAAGATTTTAAAGTCGGTTTTTTAAAATTACTTTTAATACTTGTTAATGTATGTTTATCGATAATTCTTTACCATCTAGTCCGATTTCAATTATTCTTTTTTTGTTAGTAAGGGGATACCTCAGGAGTAGTCCCATATAAATTTGGTCAAAATCTAAAAATTAGGTCCATAATAAAATCCACAAACTATTTTTATACAGTGAGCATCATAAGTCTTACCCCCCTTACTAACTCGTTACTGGAGTCTTTTCAGGAAAATCGCCGAGACAGGTCGATTTTTGATTTTTACAATGTACATTTTTGTATGATTAGTTTACCCTTAATTTCATTCCTTACTGGAGGGGAGCAACACTTTCGAAAAATTTAAATAGCATGGGGTGGTGAGTGACAGCTCATTTGAAAGGGAGTTTTATTCTCTATTCAACCGTGCAAAAAATTTTGAAATTTGCTTCATTACTTGTTGATTTATTAATGTTTAAAAATAACAAAACCTCACAAAATAGGAAAGCAACTAAACTAACAGTGACCTTCTAATGGCAAAAAGTCTTACTTTACGTCTAAATCAAAACCGAAATCATGCAGAGCCGAATTTGAATTCTAAGGATGAGTGCGCTACGTTAATTTCCGTTATTCTGAAACAACAATTAGTCGAGAATTAATGAAGCAATTTTCAAAATTTTTTACACGGTTGAATAGAGAATAAAACCCTCTTTCAAATGAGCTATCACTCACCACACCATGCCATTTAAATTTTTCGAAAGGGTTGCTCCCCTCCAGTAAGGGATGAAATTAAGGGTAAACTATTCATACAAAACTGTACATTGTAGAAATCAAAAATCGACGTGTCTCGGCGATTTTCCTAACAAGACTCCAGTAACGAGTTAGATAGGGGGGGGGGGGGGGGGGTAAGACTTATGGTGCTCACTGTATATGGGTGATTCTCGTGTAACTGTGATTTTTACAACTTACAGTTTTCTAAAGTTAAAAATGTTTTAAAACGTATGTTTTACGCGTTTTTGTTTTCTATTTATGTACAGAATAAAGCCTGCAAAGTGGTTCTACTACAGTTACGACACAACGAAAACTGTGACAAAATTTAAAATTTTTAATGCCACGGTACTGACATTGTAGTTATAAGAGGTAAATTTTATATTATAAAATGAATTTTGATAGAAATCTATATATTTAATTTCAAAAATGAGAATCGGACATGCCACGGTACTGACATTTCGAGTATATTTATATGCAGCTTAAAAAAATTACGAAGGTTTATGATCTAATTCATAATGTCTGTTGTAAAATACCTCTAAATTTTTAATATTAATAACTTTTTGATGAAGAAAACTTATGCTAAACGATAAATAAAACACTGGACATAAAAAAATCACAGTTATCCGAGAATCACCCATATGTTGAGCGATAATTTTTTACCACCTTGTCCGATTGCTATGATTCTTTTTTTGTTAGTAAGCGGGTACCTCAGGTGTGCGGTGGCCTCATATAAATTTGGTTAAGATGTGGTGACAGCATCGCAAGATTTTGAAGTCAGTTTTTTAAAATTACTTTTAATACTTGTTTATGTATGTTTATCGATAATTCTTTACAATCTTTTCCGATTGCAATTATTCTTTTTTTGTTAGTAAGGGGGTACTTCAGGGGAGGTCCCATATAAATTTGGTCAAAATCTAAAAATTGGGTCGATCAAAAAATCTTCAAACTCTTCATTTTTTATATATGTTTAGCGATAATTCTTTACCACCTTGTCCGATTGCTATGATTCTTTTTTTTTAGTCAGCGGGTACCTCAGGGGTGGTCCCATATAAATTTGGTTAAGATGTGGTGATGGCATCTGCACGATTTTAATGTCAGTTTTTTAAAATTACATTAAGTGATAATTTATGTAAAACTTATACAATAGAAATTAGAATTATAGCTGTCATGCTCTATCAATACAAATATACGAGTTGTTTCCAGGTGTGTAATTAAAATCAACAAAAAATTAATATAAAAATGTACTTTATTATTGACATTACATTTTCATACACTTTGAAAAGCATTAATTTTTTGATTGTATTGTTGTAACTACATAATAATAAAATCTTAATATTACATCATCTATAAAGTAATAAACAATGTACCTACCTTTCTAAAACTTTTAAATATAATTATTACTTTGTGTTAAAACAAGTAAATTTATTTTTTTGACAAGTGACGCCAGCCATCCAAATTTAAAGACTACTATCAATAAAAAGACGGCTGAATTAGTTTAATTTGTGGTGGCTTAATTGTGACGCCACTCGGTTGCGAAACGCTTTTCGTAAACCTATCAGAATTCCATAAATTAAAAAGTTCCCTGATACACCTACATCATAAAAGTACTCTCGTCCTCCCACATCCTCCCACTTCTACCTTAAAATAAACTGCATTACAGAATAACATTTTTGTGGAACTTTCGGCATATTATTATGTACTTTTAATTTTAATATTTTTACACCACCCAATTTACACTTTGTTGATATACGGATAAGCCCAGTAAAACTATAATTCACATGCTAAGTACTTTTCTCTTGTTGTGCGTCTCTTCGATATATTTTCGCTGACGTGATGCTAATTTTCCTCTTATCCATTGAAATATCTGTACAAATGTATCATGCTGACTGACATATCAAGTGTGTGAAATATGGTTTGCATAGAATTTAGCATTTATACCGTTTGCATATGTGGCAGAATTCAAATAAGACTAAGAGAAAACACGGTTGGTTATTTCGACGTATAACAAACCACTGTAATTTCGTATTTTTATAATATTTTGGGGTAACTATTAAAACAATTGCAAAATAATGTTAATAGTTCAGTTCATTTATATAAAATCCACAACTATTGCATTTTTTTGAGTCAAAAATCAGCATTTTGACAGCTATTTAAAATTTTTCAAATTTGTTATACAATGTAGGGAAAATCTTTGCCGTAGTTCTATGATAACTCCTACTACGCAAATCCTAACGATTTATTTGACGTATACCTATCAGTGGGGGTCAAAACCAAATATTCGAAAATGGTTTTCTTGTGTACTGGGTGGCCCAATGGTAAATTAGGGAAAACAAGAAATTTATTTTATTATTGTTATTATTGACTTATTATTATTGACTTATTGTACAGATTTTTTAAAACCGTTTATTAAAACATAAAAGCGCAAATTAAAGTTACTTCTACCTTTAGCAATCAACGGAATTTTACATTTGACATTTGACGGATGTTTTGTGATTTGTAATGTTCGTTTAGCGTTTACTTTTGTCAAATAAGCCAAATGGGAATTAAAGTAAGGGTTCTGTGGCAGTGTTATTTGTGCAAGTTAAAGTAAATTGTGTCTGTAACATATGTTACCGTAAAATAATTTCAATACCCAAATCAAAATGTTTAAAATAATAACTGATCCTAGGTAAATATAAAGTACAAACCCTATAAAGATATTTCAAATTTCAACACTGTCTGTTGTTCGTTCACCCTCATCCTAACTGTTTACACAAAGCTTAGAAACGTATGATTCCTATTCCTAATCAAATTAACTTTTCGATGAATACGGCCACTGTTTCTGATTAATGTTACATTTTTAGAATTATACTGTATTTTCTGTTTCAGAGATAATAATTTTTATAATGTTAGGGACACAATGCTGTATTCTGAATTATTATAGCAGCCAACTACTTTATATATAATACATTTTTTAAATAATGATTTTGTATATATACACCAATTTTAGTCAAGTTAAGATTGGTTCATGCAACTTAATTTTTGCAGTTTGTGTGAACAAATGT